GTGGGTAGATGGATGGATGGGCAGGCAGGTGGGTGGGTGGATGGACAGATGGATGGATGGATGGACGGGTGGGTGGATTGGTGTGTGGATAGATGATGAGTGGATAGATGGATGGGTGGATGGGTAGATGGGTGGGTGGACGAATGAATACTCCTCATGATCTATTGCTTGAAAATAATTTTCACGGCAAAGTTAAGACTAGGACCCGATTCTGCTAGAGTATATTTCATGGCTGTTTATGTTGGAGCATACTGAACATGCTAACGGTAGTAGTTATATTTTATTGTGTGTTGAGTGTGCACTTATATGGCAGGCTTTGTACTAAGCACTCCCACTAATCCTCTTGATAACCCCTTTATTCGCTCCATCTTTACTACAAGAAAATGGATGCTGAGAAAGGTAGAGCAGCTTGCCCAAAGCCACACAGCAAATCACATCCTAGCCCATCTGATTCTGTGCCAATTGCCCATCACCTTTCCCACCCTCCACCAGGGTTTCTCACCCTCCCTGGCCCTGCCCCACCTCTGCAGGCCCCCAGCTGGCCTCACCTCCATCAGCATAGGTCTCGGTGCCATAGCCGTCTTGCAGGCCATTGTTCCAGGTGCCCTCATACTTGGCACCGCTGCTTGAGCTCTGCCGGATTCCGTAGCGTCCCTTGAAGCCATGTGTCCACTCGCCCTTGTAGAGCCAGCGCCCCTTGGTCTCTATGCCCAGCCCATGCCGTTTGCCCTGGCTCCAGTATCCCTCAAAGGTATTTCCGCTGGGCCAGGTATAGACACCTGCCACCTCAAAGCCAAAGTTCCAGGAGCCAGAGTATTCGCCCTGGCCCTTGGGGCCTGTGCACAGTCCGTGCCCGTGGGCCTTTCCCCCCTCCCAGCCCCCGCAGTACGCCCCACCGTCATCAAAGTCAAAGCGGCCCCCGCTCATCTCATCATAGCCCCTGACAACCTCCCCGTCCTCCAGGGTGAGTGCAGAGGGCGTGGGTGATGCCTGCAACACTCCTCCAGTGCCCTCGGGGGCAGGCCCCCAGACTCACCACTGCGCCCCAGGAGGGGGGAAGCAGGATGCCAGCAGAGGCTGAAAGAGCCCCGGCGCCAAGTCAGCACTGGGTTGGCTAGTCAGTGCCATGCCCAGGAGCCCCGACTCCACCAGCCAGAGCAAGGCTGCCTGCTGGGAAGAAAGCAGGAAGGAAAGGTTCAAAGTCCCCACAAAGCGTCCCAAGTCTGCCTTCCAAGAAGTCCAAGGGAAAACGGTGTGATCTCTTCAAGAAGCCCAGTGAAAGCGTGGGGTGGAGGGGTCCCCAGCCTTTTCAAAGAGGGGAAATTCCCCTCGGTGACAGCCCCCGCCTGAGGCTGGGTTCCCGCAGCCCGCTGGCCCCCTTCTCCACCCCAGTGGGTGTGCGGGGCTGTCCGTCTCCCCGCCGCTGCCCCGCCCCCTTCTCCAATCCTGCCCTCCTCCCCGGACGGAAAGGTCAGTGTTGCCCTAACAAGGCCATTGGATCTCAGAAGCTGCTCCCAAAATAACCCCCAGCCAGCCCAGCCTCCTTCAAAGCGGGAAGGAGGGGTATTTCAAACCGGGCCCGTGCTGCAGACCCGGGCAGTGGCTGGAGAGATGAGGAAGGAGGCTGAGAACTGAGTGCAGGCAGCCCAGGGAACCTGGTGTCTTTTTCTCCCGGGAATAAGAGCTGCCTTCCATTCTCAGAGTCCCCTGGGTCTGCGGGCAGGGAGGGCGCCGGGGAATCGGGGAAGGGAGGGGAGACGGAGACCAGTAGAACGCCCAGTCCTGGAACACTGAAAATCCCCCAGAGCGAGGAGGTTGGCAGATCTCAGCCCCATCACCACTCACATGCCCTAAGGGGACCTGGGGTTACAGCACCACTGCCAGCCCCATCAAGGAATCTGGTGACCTAAAGAGAAAGGAATGGAGACAGTTTCACATGTGCTTCCGAAAGCAGAGGAGGGAAGTCAGAAAGAGAGGGGAGGCTGTGGAAACAGAGTCTGGAAGATACACCAAATCTCAGTCCAGTGCTCACGCACCACCCTGAGCTCCCTCCACCCCGGAGAACCTGGTGCAAGAAGCAATCATCTATTCCCTTTCTCTTTCCCCTGAAAGGCAAAGAGAAGGGAGAGGAGCCTGCCCTCCTCGCTGCCTGAGACACAGACTGGGCTTCCCGCTAGCTTCCTCTCCCCACCCCTTGGTACCTCTGCGCCCTCCCTGCCGCAGACCCAGCAGACCCTGAGGTCTGGAGTCCCCTTCCTGTCAACCCAGGGTTGTGCTGTAATGAAGTCCTCTCAGAAATTCTCAAGGGTCATGATTTTTTAAAAATTTCCCTTTCCGAGCTGTCTTTTCCTCTAGTGTCCTAGGAGCCTGTGAGGCCAGACTTCAGAAAGCTCTTGGGGCAGGGCCAGGAGAGAAGGGCCCGGGTGGATTCCCAGCCGCTCAGGTTCCCACCAAACTCCAGTAAAAAGAACAAATAAATGTCCACGGCAAGAAGCTGTGGCCAGAGCTAATGACTGTAAATCCCAGCTAAGCCCAAGGTTAATGGGAGTATAGAGGAATTCTGGGAAAGGTAAGAGCCACTAGGAAGATCTGTGTGTGTCTGTGTGTGTGTGTGAATGTGTAAGAGTGTGTGTGAACGTGTGTAACAGTGTGTGTGAAGTGTATGAGAGTGCCTGTGGCAAGAGTGTGTTGTGAGAGTGTGTGTGGTGAGAGTGTGTGTTTGTATGTGTGTGTGTTTGTGTGTGAGTGTGTGTGTGAAGGTGGGGATGGAAGAGAAAGAGAGAACTAAGCACAGAAGGTGCTAAAGAACATCAGACAATTATCTGACTTTAAATTTATCTGACATATTTCCTAACCCCATGATAATTTAGGCCACGTAAAGTCACTGCGGAAGTCTTGTTCCTGTTCGAGAAGTGGGTAAAAAATGTTCCCTGCTTTCCTTCCAGCGGGTTATCTGTTCTTAGGACTTGGTTCCATCCTTGGTCACAGCCCCTGACCTTAAAGAGCCCCTTCTGTATCTGCGTTTCACCACCAGGTAGAGGCACCCAGCCTCTTGGGCTCACTGTCACCGTCTGTTTGCCAAGCTGACAGGGAGCACATAGTGGCTAAGGACTGTGTCCTCTGGGTAGTTAGGTGTGAGCCCTGGCCAGGTTGACTGACAGTCTGCTTGCACAATTCACTTCTAAGAACGCCTCAGGGCTACTCCCGGGGAGTTCTGCTTTCGCCACTTCTCACTGAGGACTTCCGAGAATCACAAACTGTTTTCGAGCTCTGCTGTCAGGGGAAGAGCATCTCCAACTGGAAGCTAGGGCAGTTTGAGCTGCGGATTCAATATTGTAATCATACGCTTAGGCCAGGCGGCCATTGCTGCATCTTAGCAGGGTGTTCCACCTATGTGAATTTAACCACTGTCCATTCATAGCAGCTCCCTAGGGTAGCTCTCTACCCAGGGTTACTACACGCAAGAACCACCTACTGAACTTAAAAACATAAAGAGATCCGAGAGCCCCACCTGAGACCTACAGAATTAGATTGTCCTGGGAGAAGACCTGGGCAGTCGTATTCTTTTAAAAGCTTGTCAGATGAATCTGACTCTCATCTCTGGTTAAAAACACTGTAAGTGCCTGGTATAGGGGCTCACACCTGTAATCCCAGCACTTTGGGAGGCCAAGACTGGAGGATTGCTTGAGCCCAGGGGTTTGAAACCAACCTGGACAACAAAGTGAGACCCCCACTTCTACAATTTAAAAAAAATTTTTTTAATTAGCCAGGTGTGGTGATACACACCTGTGGTCCCAGCTACATGGGAAGCTGAGGCAGGAGGATTGCTTGAGTCAAGGAGTTGGAGCTGCAATGAGCCATTTTGGTGCCACTGCACTCTAGCCTGGGCAACCCTGTTTCAAAACATAAATAAATAGATGGATAGAAAATAACAACGAAACCATGGTAAAATTTCAAATTAAGAAACTGTTTAATAACATAAAGATTCATGAATCCGTTTACCGCAGGATGAGTAGTTTTAGAGTTAGATACGTCTTCAAATCCCAGTCCTGCCCCTCACAAGCTGTGTGACCTGGGACCAATTGTTAATTTCTCTAAACTGCAAGTTTTTCATCTGTAAAAGTCCCTACCTCAGAGGATTATAGGTATCAAGAATAACAGTATCTACCTTATATGACTGAGTGAGGATTACAGAATTAATACTGTAAAAAGGCTCAGAACACACTACACGTATAATCAGTGTTAGCACTTATGAGTATTACTCTTACATACTAAATTACTTTTCAGGCCTAATAAAATAGTCATCAAAGAGGGAAGAGAGAACCCTTCCCAAATATTAAATATCTTGACATCGAAGCACTCCTTATTCTCATGTTTTAAACTGAAAAACGAAGTTACTGGTAAAGGGATACTATGACTTTGTAAAGTTTAAGTAAGATTCTTTGCCAAATTTGGTACTGGCCTTACCTGCCCAGAGCTTTCTGATAAGTTACCATTCGTCCTGCCTTTTAAACGGATGCATTTCAGGGAAAGGGAGACCTCTTGTGGTGTTACGTGCATTACAACAGACTTTCCTCAGAAAAAACAAGTTCTTCAAATCCAATGGAATTTACTAAACTTGAAATATTAGCCGGGCATGGTGGTGCATGCCTGTGGTCCTAGCGACTCAGAAGGCTGAGGCAGAAGGATCGCTTGAGCCTGGGAGGTCGAGGCTGCAGGGAGCCATGATCACACCGCTGCACTTCAGACTGAGTGATGGAGCAAGATCCTCTCTCAAAAATAATAATAATTATTATCATTTAAAAATAAATAGGCTGGGCGCGGTGGCTCATGCGTGTAATCCTAGCACTTTGAGAGGCCAAGGTAGGTGGATTATCTGAGGTCAGGGGTTCGAGACCAGCCTGGCCAACATGGCGAAACCCCTTCTCTACTAAAAATACAAAAATTAGATGGGCAGAGTGGAACCTAGTAACCCCAGCTACTGGGGGCACTGAGGCAGGAGAATCACTTGAACCCCGGAGACAGAGATTGCAGTGAGCCGAGATGATGCCACTGCACTCCAGCCTGGGCGACAGAGTGAGACTCCATCTCAAAAATAAATAAATAAAAATAAAAAATAAAATAAACTTGAAATAATTATAAACTGGTTTTAAAGGCAGCTAGCCTATTCCCTCTCTTCGTCCCAGATCGCTTCCCACTCCCTTGTTCTGTTCCCTGGTCACTTTCTCCCTCTATTTCCTGCTCAACTTCTCAAGCTTGACTGCTTCTCTGGGAGCCTCAAAGGGAGAGAACTGAAAATCCGGAACAAAGAGAAGGACTGTGCCCAGAAATCCATTGGAGTTCTTCTCAGCCGTGGAAGGGTCAGCAGAGCGAGCCTCATCACCCTGGAAGCCTTTCCAGGCAGGTTTCCTGGCTGGACTAGTGCCCTTCCCACATGCTGGCTCCTCCCCCAAACTATGAGTTGTTAAAGCAAGGATTTTCTTCTTTCCAAAAAATAGTGAATAGTGCTGCAGTGAACATAGGTGTGCATGTATCTTTACAATAGAATGATTTATATTCCTTTGGGAATATAAATCAGTAATGAGGCTGCTGGGTCAAATGGTATTTCTGGTTCTAGGTCTTTAAGGAATCGCCACAATGTCTTCCACAAGGGTTGAACTCACTTAGATTCCCACCAAAAGTATAAAAGCATCCTTATTTCTCCAGAGCCGTACCAGCATCTTTTGTTTCTTGTTTGTTGACTTTTTAATAATTGCCATTCTGACTGGTATGAGGTGGTATCTCATTCTGGTTTTGATTTTGCATTTCTCTAGTGATCAGTCAATCAACCCAAATGTCGATCAATGATAGACTGGATAAAGAAAATGTGGTACAGATACACCACGGAATACTATGCAGCCATAAAAAGGAACGTGATCATGTCCTTTGCAGGGACACAGATGGATCTAGAAGCCATTATTCTCAGCAAACTAACACAGGAATAGAAAACCAAACATGTTCTCACTTTTAAGTGTGAGCTGAACAATGGAAACACATGGACACAGAGAGAGGAACAATGGGGCCTGTGGGTAGGGTGGGGGAGCAGGGAGAGAGAGAGAGCACCAGGATAAACAGCTAATGCATACAGGGCTTCATAGGCTTAATACCTAGGTGATGGGTTGATAGGTGCAGCAAACCACCAGGGCACATGCTTACCTATGTAACAAACCTGCATGTCCTGAACATGTACCCCAGAACTTAAATTATTAAAAAACCTGAGCACCTGTTGTACAGTAGGTATTGCAGCTCATCTGTGTCTACCCAGTGCCTGCACATAGTGGGTGCTCCTGGTCTTCCCAGCATCTAGCAGCTGATGACCCCTTCTGAAATCCTTTTTCAATTGACTTCTAGACTCTCTCTCTCTTGGTTCTGCTCCTGCCTTACTGGTTCCTCCTCATCCCCCTGAGTTCTGTACCTTGGGAATATGCCAGATCTTCGTTCTCTGGCTTCTTTATCTACATTCATTTCTGAGGAGGTTCTAGTCACATGGCTTTGCATAAACTCCCTCTACCAATGACTTCGAAGTCTGCGTCCCCAGGCTGCACCACTCTCCTGATCTTCTCTCAGACATCCAGCCACCTACTCAACATTTCTAAATATCTCATGAGCATCTCAGATTTGACAATAACAAACAAAACTCTCAGTCTCCACTTGCAAATCTGTCCCTCCAGCCGACTCCACAAACTTATTAAAACCTTTGGAGTCAACCTTCATTCTTGTCTTTCTCTCACACCTTAAATCTAGTCCATCAGCAAATCCCT